ACTAGCAAGACTGTTTACAAGACACTTTCAAAGTCCCTGGAGATGGTTTGGGCTTAATTAAAACCTGCTTATTTTGTCCCCAGGATCTGAAGTGAGCTATGAAATTAAAAGAATTGACTTTGTCAGGTTTCATGTTTCCTCCCATCTCATATCCAAAAAATTAACTTCTCATCAGACTGACAAATAGACATTGCACCTGGATTATAATCATTATAAATTTGTGCCCCTCTGTAATTACCCTTCTTAATTAGCCTGGGATGTTTGAGGACATAGTCAATAATATTGATAATTCTTCACCTAGTACAGTGACTGTTTCATAGTAGACATCATTTGTTGACAGAAAAGACGATGGACAAACAGATGGATAATCATAATTATAATCACAATTACAGTAGTAGAAATCATCAATCCCCCTAAGATACTGACGAGTGATATATCGGCCACAGCAGCTGCATCCATTGTAATAGCATTACGTTGCTTACATTGTAACTAGCATTACGAAAATAATATCTAAATATCTATATGCCAAAAAACTCTCAACTCATCCTTCCCATCCCTTATAAAAATTGAGTCAAAATGTATTATACACATAAATGTTAAACTTAAAACTATAAAACTTCTAAGATAAAACATAGGATAAAATCTCTACAATTTTAGATTAGGCAAAGATTTCTTCGACACAACACCTTAACCATGATCTATCAAAGAAAAGGTGAAAACTAGATTTCATTCAAATCTAATCCAAAATTCAAAAGTTCTACTTCACAAAAAAACATTGTTCAGAGAGTGAAAAGATAAACCACAACCTGGGATAAAATATTAGCAAAATACATATCTAACAAAGGACTTGCATCTAGAGCACACAAAGAATTCTCAAAATTTGATACTAAAAAGATGAATAACCCAATAAAAAAAAGGGCAAAAGGTTTGGACGCATACGTCATCAAATATATATCAATGGCAAATAAGCAAGCAAAAAAATGTTCAACAACATTAATCATCAGGAAAATTCAAATTAAAGCTCCAGTGAGATAACACCTCTATGAACGGCCAAAATTTAAAAGACTGACCATACCAAGTGCTAGCAAGAAAGTGGACAAATTATAATTCCCATACATGTTGGAAAGAATTGTAAAATGTTACAGTCACTTTGGAAAACAGTTTGGCAGTTCCTTATAAAATAAACATGCATTTATCATACAACACAGCAATCATACTCCTAGATATTCACTGAGTGACATGGCGACTTATAGTCACCTAAAACCTTGTACATGTTTATGGAAGCTTTATTCATCATCACACCACACTGCAAACAACACAAATATCCTTCAGCTGCTGAATGGATGAACAAATTGTGATATATCTATACCATGGAATACTACTCAGCAATAAAACGAAAAGAAATACTGATATACACACACACAAACACACGTACATAAACACATATACATGTAAAACAATGTGGATAAATTTCACATAGTATACTCAGTGAAAGAAGACAGACTCAAAAGGCCACATAGTATATGGTTCCATTTAAATGACACTCTCAAAAGGGCGAAATTACAAGAATAGAAAATAGATCAGTGGTTTCCAAGTCTGAGAGTAGATGTGGGGTTGACTAGAAGGGCAAAAAAAGTAGTAATTTCTTGGGGTGATGGAACCGTTCTGAATTTTTATTGTGGTGGTGATTATGTGACTGCATGTGTTTGCCAAAAGCTCATTAGAACTATATGCAAAAAAGAGTAAATTTTACTGTATGTAAAATGCTTTAAAAGAACATAGGTTGCATTCTAAGAAAAAAACACAAAAACATCTAGCCAGAAATCTCTCTACAATTATTTTTTAAATAATAAGAATTATAGCTAACATTTGTTGAGACTTTACTACATGATAGGCATGTAGTAAGGTGCCTTATCTGTGCTAAGACTTTTTGCACTGTATCTCATTTAATTTTCATAACAATCTTTTGAGATAGGAACTATTGTTACTCCCTTTTACAGGTAAGGAAAAGGAAAGTCACAGAAGTTTTCTCTGATCTCAGTCCACAGCCCAGGTCACAGGACTTCAGATGGTACACTCTAATCCATTACACTACATGGCATCCCACTGATACAATGGAAGGAAACTGAACTGGAAGCCAGAGTCCAGTCTCAACCCTGGTCTGCAACTAACACAGTATGAGCATAAACAAGTACCTAACCTGTCTATGCTTTCCTTTCCTTATATTAAAATTCAAAGCACTGGAAACAGATGACTTCTCAGTTTCCACTTAATCCTAGTTTATAAGTCTATGAATAGCTTTTAGTTACTTGCTGCTTAAAAAGATCAACGTTTCTGTCTCATTTCTTTCCATGCCCTCCTGCTGCCCTGCTGGGTCCTGGTGTGTAAAATTCCACCATTAGTTCTTTTTATTCCTAAGGTATGGTAACTTCAGAATAGTACAGTGCATATGACATAACCCTTGGGTTCTAGTTGTTCAGTCTAGAAGATGAGAAAGAGAGATAAGCAACCAACAGTAATGAAGAATGTTGTGTTGCATGTTAAGTGTTTTGCTGTGAAGCAGTGATATTTAGAGTGGTGGACCAGAACATGGGCTCTGGAGATAGAGAGAGCTGGGTTTAAGACCTTTTTCATCCTCAGTTTCTTCATCTCTAAAACAAGATTGTATCAAGATGTATGAGACTGCTATAAGCCTAAATGAGGTACTACACATAAAGCACATGGAACTCTGGGTAATATAATTAGTCTTGTTCATAACTATTTTTATGTTATTAATGAAATAGATAATCTTCTGGGATCAAAAAGGAAAGGAAGAAACAAATGCTCAGAGAAAATCAGTAATTTGCTCAAGGTCAAGTAGCTAATAGAATTAAGAACTCTAGACAGGGCCGGGCACGGTGGCTCATGACTGTAATCCCAGCACTTTGGGAGGCTGAGGCGGGCGGATCACGAGGCCAGGAGCTCAAGACCAGCCTGACCAACATGGTGAAACCACGTCTCTACCAAAAATACAAAAATTTGCCAGGCATGGTGGTGCACACCTGTAATCCTAGCTACTCAGGAGGCTGAGGCAGGAGAATCACTTGAACCTGGGAAGCAGAGGTTGCAGTAAGCCAAGATTATACATTGCAATCCAGCCTGGATGACAGAGTGAGACTCTGTCTCAAAAAATAAAAATAAAAAATAAAGAAAAAAAAATACTAGACAGATCAGTGTGGCACTTGAATGGGAGAGTTGAGTAAATGCTTCCTATCATCCATGCAATTCTATATATCTCTGACCTTGTTGAATAAGCTGTATCCTTCATATTTCTTTGAGATCTCCCTCCCATCAGCATCTGTAACTAGGAGTTGGCAAGAACTATAAAACCCTCCTCTCCTGGGTCATGGGGGAAGGGTTCCTCAAGAAGATTGATCTCTCCATCTTTCTTTAGGATACAGATTGTTCCCACAGGAAATATGACTGCCCAGAAATGATGCTGTATTTGGCACTGTCTCCACTCATGTATTATCTTCTGTTCCTCACAGGAGTCATCATCTCTGGCACCCTCTGGAATTACACTTACATGATTTTTTTCTTTTTATTTGTTCCCTCTCAAAGTAGTTATATAATTAACAATGCTTGAAGTCTCTATATATCACTCCACAGCTGCAGTTCTCAACCATGGTTGATTGTATACTCCAGGGCACACTTGGCAATATTTGGAGACAATTTTAGTTGTCACAGTCAGGGGGAATGGGGTAAGCTTGCTGGCATTCAATAAGTAGAGGCTATGGACGCTGCTAAACATCCTACAATACAAAGGACAACCTCCAGCAAAGAATTATCCGGCTCCAAATGACAATACTGCCAAGATTAAGAAACCCTGCTCTAGGCTGACAAAAGTGGTTTCACCTCTGCTTGCTCATTTGATGCTTATCACATCCTTAGGATGAAAGCCAGGTCAATACCCACATCTACCCCCAAAGTTCTCCTTATAGTAAGGAGAGAGAGAGATACCCTCGCTGCTAAGCTAAGGAACTGAGACCCAGGGAAGTAGAGTGAATGGTCCAAGGCCACAGAATGAGGTCAAAGCGAAGTCAAGACTTTGAATTTCCTGACTCTCAGTGCTACCTCACTGTCAGCATGTTTTTAAGAAATGTGATACAAAGATATTTCTCCTCTGGCCAGTGAGAGTGTTAGAAAGCCAGAAAACCTTAAAGTCATAAATAAATACATTCTCTTAAAGTCATCATAGAATATTAGCTTGGGAAAGATCCTTAGAGATTATTTAATTCAACTCTATTATTTTACAGATGGGAAAAAAATAGACAACCATGCCATAAAGGAGATGCAGTTGTAGAGCAGCGTATACCAAAATCCCTTTCCCCTCTGTTCACCCATCAAGCAGCCTACTGCCCACTGCAATGGAGAAAGCTTTTTAAACTTTAGGATGGTCTACACAAGTGCATTTATATAAGAAAGATAAAGAGGGAATTATAGGGAAACTAACTCAGGCATTAGACAAGGGAAGGTGGGTTGCTTGCTGGGGGCTTAAGAGAGTTGGAAAGCACAAAGAAGGGACAGGAGCAAAAGCAGGTTAAGTGAAGACTAAAAGAAATAGGAAAAGAGGAAGAGAAAAGAGAAAGAAAGTACATATTCCTTTTGTGTTCTGGAATTCCCATGTGCCTCTTAAGAACTAAGAAAAGACAATCTGTCACACAAACAAAACAGTACTTAAAAAAAAATTTACCATTATTTTCTAACCATAAAGGTAATACATGACTCTTATTTTTAAAATGAATATTATAGAAAAATATGAGCATAAAATTTTTCTCAGTTTCCCACCCTTCTGAGATAACAACTATTAGCAACTTAGTCTATGTTTTAATTCTATATTCTATTTTTATATTATAAGCTATTAAATGTTTAACTTTTTTTACAAAAATGTTATCTACACAAAATATATGGTACCTGATTTTTTACTTGAACACATAATGAACATATTTTCACATTGGTACACAAAAAGATATTATTTTTAAGTTGATATAGTATTCTATTATTTGGATATATCATAATTCACTATTGATAAATATACATTTTTATTCTCGTGTGAGTACTTTCACATAATAATTCCTAGAAGTGTAGTTGCTATGGAATCATGCAATAGGATATGTACATTTAAATTTTTTAATAGTCAAATTGCCTAAATAACAACTATTAATTTTAACTCTTCCCAAAACGACAGTTTATATCAGTGGCCACCTCCTCCTTGAAGCAGCCCCTGATTCTGCCAGCTGAAAATTAGCCCTCATCCTCAGAACCTATCTACCTTTTATCTATGTGCTTCTTTCAGTCTTCTCTCTCCTCAGTGGCAGCCCCATATCTGTGTCAACTTATATTATTGTCCTGGTGTCAGCACCTGGAACAAGAAAATTGGATGAGAAGAAAATGAGTGTAAAGTGAAGAACCCAGGGTTTCATTAACGACTTTCAGCGCCTCCCTGTTTCTGCTGATCTCACCTGAATAGGTTCTACCAAACATGCATCTTAGCCAGATGTGCCAACCAGTGAAAAACGAATTAAGAAGGACAGCTAATTAGAAGATCAAACAACCCATAGAACTGAGTAACTCAGACCTTGTGGAGATGTTTCACTGCTCTGCTCCAAATGGCCTAAATGAATCAGGGGCCTTCTAGGGATGGTCCTATACACTTTATCCTGAAAATCAAAGGAGAGTGTCAGTTTTCTCTCTTAAGATGAAAACTCTGAAATGAAACCATAGAAAATAGTCAGGACTGGAATAAGAGATCATCTGTCTTCAAGTGCGTACCCTGGACAGAAATGCCCAGTCTTCCTGAAAGCCTATTCCCTGGAACCCCAGGCCCACGATACACTTTAGAAAATAAAAGACTGGTTCAAATAGGTTGGCAAACACCACACGCTTTATTTCCTCTTAGCTATTCACAAAGCACATTTGCAACCTAGAATCTGTACAGAGGCTTTAAGAAACCTTCTGCTGCTAAGAAACCTGTTTAATATATTGATATTCCAAGTTACTCACTTTGGAAAATATGACCAGGGCCAAATCTCACTTCCAGTCTTCCTGTCCTACCTCTTGGGTCTCTGCTCAAGAGACGGGTGCTGTTTGGGAATCACGGAAAGCCACTTTAAGGATTGTAAAGCAATATACTAATATTCAGGACTGTTCTTAACAGTAACAGTCAGATATTAAATTAATACTCAAGAACTACATACCTAACACCTACTAGAGGTCCAGTAGTAGGAATACAATAGTCAGTCGGTAGCAAGTCTCCTGTTCTCTGGTCTAGTCCTGGGAGTGGTCCAGTCTTCATTCATGCAATCTCTACTCCCAGCCCCACAACCCCCCAAACACCCTCAATGGTTCTGGGACCTTGGAGGAGGCACTTTGCTGGGTAAAGAGAAGTGTTCTTGTTTCTAAAAAAAAAAAAAAAAAAAAAAAAAAAGTCACCAGGAAGTGGGCTCTCCTGCGCTATCTGAGTTGGGATTTGAGGGCAAATCTAATAGAAAGATAAGGTTACCTCTGTTCACATTTCCATGTAAACAAAACACAGAAGCTATGAACGCTCTGCCAGATTCTTCTTCTCTGTGAAATTATATGAAAACGCAAACCTTGAGAGCTCAGTTATTTCAGTTGTCTTGTTGTTAAAACAACCAGAACCATACGAAATGTTTTGAGATTTGTCCTGGAGGCTTGGTAAATGTGTGGAGGTTGAATCCATCATGTCTCTGAATGTTATAGTACAAAGCTAAGAGTCTCAAGATGAACTATTAATGACATATGTACAAAAAAGAAGGGGTTCTCATATGTTATCAATGGGAGGGTAAGTATTAGTATAGTATTAGTACAACCTTTGTGTAGTGTAATTTGCAATATCTATCCCATATTAAATGCACATACCATTTGACTCAGAAGTTTACTTACTAACTCATCCAACAAACATTTATTGAGCACTGTTGGAGGTGCTGAAAATAGCCCCCTAACAAAACCAACAAAGCCTCACCCATAGTACTTACATTCTATTGGGGAAAAGGTCTGCAATAAACAGATAAACAAGAGAATACATAGTATTTCAGGTGATGCTAAGTCACATGCAGAAAAACAAATCAGGTTAAAGGGAAGGAAGAATTCCAAAGTGGGATGAGGTATGCAGGGAAGGCCCCTCTGATCAAGTAAAAACTGAGCAAATGCCTGAAGGAAATGAGGACATGAGCTATATGTATACCTGGGGAAAGAGTATGCCAGTCATGGGGATGGTATGTATTTTGAGATCATAGAGTACTTGCATTTTAAGGAAGATAAATGAGGTCAACATAGCCAGAGCAAAGTAAGCAAAGCAGGAGCTCAAAGAGCTGCAGGATCCAGAGCAGGCAGGAATCACAGGTCAGATTATATAGAACTCTCCAGGCCAGAGTACAAACCTTTATTTTCACTCTGTGGAAAATGGGACGCCTTTGGGAAGGTCTAAGCCTAGAAATTAGTTCTTAGAGAACCAGTGTGAGCTCTTATATGGAACAGACTGTAAGGAAGCAATACAGGAGAGAGACTAGGAGGCAACTCAATAATCCAAGGAAGATAGGAGGGTGGTTGGACCAGAGTGGTAGCCATGGAGTGGGGATAAGTAATCATAGGACAAGATTTGCTGAAAGTTTGGGTGTGTGTGAGAGAAACAGAGGCAGTAGGGATGACCACAAGGTTTTTGGCCTGAGCCACTGGAAGGGCAGAATGCTATTTACTAAAATAGGGAGAGCTTCAAAGAAACAGGTTTTAAGGGATGGATACAGGCAAATTAGGAGTTCAGTTTTAGATATGTTGACCTTGAAAGCATGTTAGATGTCCAAATGGAGATACTACATGAGAAAAATGAATACACAGATCTGGATTCAGGGCAGAAATCAGAGTGAGAACGCATATTTGGGAGTTGTCATTGTATGGTATTTAAAACCACACAGCAGAGAAAGATCACCTAGGAAGTGGGTCTAGACAGAACAGAAAAGAGGGCCATATTCTAGGAATTTATCTTATCCATATATTCATGAACATATGAAAAGTGACAGGTGTATGAGCACATGCATAAAAGTGTTATTGTGCCAAAGATTGAAAGCAACAAAAACTCATTGATAAAGAACTAGAAAAGTCAATTATAGCACAATCTTACATTGGAATTGTAAGGTTATTCAGTAGTCTTTAGAAAATGGAGGTGACTTTCTGCTAACATCATACTTAAAGGTGACAAATGGAATTCTTCCCCCACAAAGCTCAGGAATAAGGCATGGATATCCACTCTCACTCAGTATAGTGCTAGAGGTTCTAGCTATTGCAATAAGGCAAGAAAAAGAAACAAAAGGCATATTAAATAGAAAAGAAGAAATAAAATTTTGTCTATTTATAAATGACACAATTATCTATATAAAAACTCCAGAGTATCCATTAAAAATAACTCCTATAACTGTTCAGCACTAAGTGGGTTCAGGAAGCTTCAGGAAACAAGACCAAAAAACAAAAGTTAATTTCATTTCTATATACTACAATGAATTTGTGGAAAATGAAATTTAAAATAGTACCATTTACAACTGCTCCAAAAAAAAAAAAAAAGATATAAACTCAACAAAACTTGCACAGAGCACTTGTATGCTAAAAATTGCACAATGCTTATTAATTAAAGACCTAAATAGAGAGCATATGCTGCTCATAATAAATATTCAACATGGTAAAGATGTTGCTTCTCCCCAAACTGACCCATAAATTTAATTCAATGACTATTGAAACTTCAGCAAGGATTTTATAGACATAGACAAGGTTATTCTGAAATTCAAGTGGAAAGACACAGTCCCTAGAATAGCTAAAGCAATCTTGGCAAAGAAGAATAAAGTGAAAGGAGTAAGTCTACGTGATTTTAAGACTTATTATATATTATAGTAGTCAAGAGAGTGTGGTACTAGTGGATGGATAGACGCATAGCTCAGTGAAACAGAAAAGAAAACCCAGAAATAGAACCATACAAATATATACAATTGACTTTTCATAAAGGTGCAAAAGTAATTCAATGGAGGAAGCATGGCTTCTTCAACAAGTGGTGCTAGAATAATTGAAGATCAATAGACAAAAATAAATAAATAAACCTAAATCACGCATTACGTACAAAAATTAACTTGAAATAGGTCATGGACCTCAACATAACATGTAAAACTATGAAGCTTTTGGGAAAATGCGTGGGGAAAAATATTCTGGATCCAGAACTAGGAAAAAAATTCTTAGACTTGACTTCAAAAGCATGATTCATTAAAGGAAAAATTGATAAATTGGATCTCATCAAAATTAAAAACTCTCACTCTATGAAAGCCCATGGGAAAAAGATGAAAAGACAACCTACAGACTGGGAGAAAATATTTGCAAGCCACAAATCCAATAAAGGACTAGTATCTAAAATATATCAGAACCTCTCAAAATTCAATAGCAAAAAAAAATCCAATTAGAAAATGGATAAAATACATGAGCAGACATTTCAAATAAGAGGATATGCAGATGACAAAGGCACATAAAAAGTTGCTCATTAGCCATCAGAGAAACGCGAATTAGAACCATAATGGAATATCATTATACACCAATCAGAATGGCTAAAATAAAAAATAGTAATGCCACTAACTGCCAGCATAAATGCAGAGAAACTAGATCACTCATACATTGCTGGTGGGAATATAACATGGTATAGCCACTGTAAAAAATAGACCTTGGCAGTTTTTTATAAAACTAAATGCAATTATCATACAAACCAGCAGTCACACACTTGGGCATTTATCACAGAAAATTAAATACTTATGTTCACAAATACTCTGTGTACAAATACTCATCGCAGCTTTATTCATAATAATAAAAAACTGGAGACAGTCCAGATGTCCTTCAACAGATAAATGGTGAGACAAACTGTGGTACAGTCATAAATACAGTTATGCATCACTTAACGATGGGTATCTATTCTGAGAAATGCATTGTTGGGTGATTTTGTTTTTGTCCAAACATCAGAGTGTACCTACACAAACCTAGATGGGCTAGCCTACTACAATCTAGTCCCTATGGTTTAGCCTATTGTTTCTAGGCTACAAATCTATACAGCATGTTACTGTACTGAATACTGCAGGCAACTGCAACACAGTGGTAAATATTTGTGTAATTAAACATAACTAAAGAGAGAAAAAGCACAGTTAAAATGCACAAATATAATCTTATGGGACTACCATTGTATATGTGGTCCATTGCTGAACAAAATGTTATGTGGTGGATGACCGTGCATATTCAGCAATAAAAATGAAACAATCTGAATGAGTCTCCAGGGATTTACATTCAGTGAGAAAAAAAAAAAAAAAACCGTTCCAAAAGGTAACATATTATAGGATTCTATTCATATAACATTTTTTAATAACAGTTTAGGAATGAATAACTGATTAGTGGTTGACAGGGATTGGGACAGAGAAGAGGTGAAAGGAAGTGGGTGTGACTATAAAAGGGCAACACAAGAGATCCTCATTCAGGGTCTTGAATGTGGTAGTAAAGACACAAATCTGCACATAATGAAATTGCATATAACTGAACATGCATACACACAACAAAATGTACATATACTCATGCATATATCAAATACAGGTAAAGCTGGGGAAATCTGAATAAGATTGGTAGACTGTATGTCAGTAACCTGGTTGTGATTTTGTACTATAGTTTTGCAAAATGCTACCATTAAGATAAACTAGATAAATGGTACATGAGATCTCTCCATATTATTTCTTACAACTACATGTGAATCTGCAATTACCTCATTGCAAATTTTTAATTAAAATATGATTGCTTAAATAAACTATAAAATACCCCCAAAATCTTTTTAGACTGATAAGGAAGATAATAGATATTTATCCACAATACATTAAGTAAAAACATGAGGATATATAAGAGAAACTTACCATTATAAGGAAAAGGGAATATATAGACCAGCTCTGGCTAGGACCATCAAAGAACTGGTAACAATTTCTCAGTTGTCTCTGGGGAGGGAACCAGGGAAGAGAGAGGGGAGGGAGAACACATTTCATAGAAGTGTAATCTTTGGATATTTTTAATTTGGGGTCATGAGCAGATATTACCTCCCAAAGAAATAAATACATTTTAAATAAAAATATGTTGTTCCTAAATGAAAATCAGTCAGGCTGAACAATGAAACATATGCATGCACACATACAGAAAACCAATCAGCCAACATGTATTTTTTTAACTGTCCTCTAAGAGATTTGCATGGATACAGGATATGAAAGACTTACAATAATGTGAAAGAGGCAATATCAATATCAAGTCAGGGAGAAATGTTGTACAAAGGGAGAAATAACCCAAACCCTATATGGCTGCTATTCCAATCACCAACA